AGTGCTGTCCAGAACTGCTCTTAGAAATTTCTACCTGGAAGTGACACACATCAATCAGCTTGCAATCCATTGGTCAGAACTAGTCCTGTGGCCTCTCCTACTTCAAGGGGATGAACGTGGAGTCTTTCGTGTGCCCAGAAAAAAAGAAGAACCGAATATTGATGAACACAAGGAATGTCTTCCACTCGCAAGGCACTGGGTACTTAGTAGTGAATAAAGCAGGCATCATTTATCTTTCCCTCATGGACCTCTCAATCCAGAGTGACATGCTGCTGGGAAAGTTACGGCATCTGAAAAGAGCCAGGTTTCTGCCCAGGCAAGGCAAGGAACTAGATCAAAGTGATTGCATTCAATAAGTATAAAGTTATGTGGGAAAACAGGAAAGGATAACAGTTGAGTATAAGTGACAAGTATGGAGAAACTTAGCAATCCTCAATAAATATTTACTGAATGAATGTTAAGTGAGGAATAAGAAGAAATTTAGCTCTAAAAAACTAAACGGGAAAGGCGACAGAGAGAGAACAGATACAGGAAGAAAAAACACATGGAAACAGTTTATGCTTTTCAAATGTTCTGAATAATATTTGGGAATAAAAGCTGTTCTTGCTATATCTGCTGCTTCCAGTAAGCCTGAAATATTCTGCTCTGGTCTCTTCTGCCATAGTTGGGCTGCACAGGAATGAGTTCCCAGCCAGACTGTTTCATTCTTACCTAGTCAAGAATGTGGGAATTGTTGGGAGACTTGGACTCTGACTCATCTTCTAGAATGTTTTATGACGAATCAAGTTTGCTTGATGGGCAGCTGTCAAATCTAGAAGTGTCACAGAAAATGAGGAATTATGCCACTATAAATACTAAAAATGCTACAGAGTTAAGCAAAAATCCTTATGAATACAATTTTATGGCAGAATGTTAGAGGTGGTTCCTTAAAGCATTAAAATGATTGACATAAAAAATATTTATTAAAGGAATGATAGAAAACATGTAAAAAAAAAAAAAGAGAAACATTTATAATGTAGCCCCTACAGATAAACCCTGTTAACATTTTGGTATAGTTCACCCCAACCTTTTTTCTAGGCACATACATCCATTTGTCTTACAAAAATAGATCATAAAATACGTATTGCTCTGTCACCTCCCTTTTACTTAACAGTATTTCTTGAATATATTTCCATGCCAAAAATATACTTCTACAAAATTATTTCATGGTTGCAGGGTATTGTATCATATGTATGTGTCAAAGTATATTTCTTTATCATCCCATTACGTTGTTTACAGATGGTTGCTATTATAAACAATGCTGTTATGAATATACTCTGGCTGAATTTCTGTGCACCTCTTTAATTATTTCATAGGGTAACTTTTCTAAATTGGAATTACTGTGGAAAAAGTCACATACAATTTAAGGCTTATTATGTACATTGCCAAATTGCCCTCTAAAATATTGTTGCAATTTACATCCCTACCAGAATCGATGAGAGCAGAAGAAGAGAGTTTAGGAGCCCGTAAGCCTACAAATGTGGTTATAAAGAATTGACAATAACATTAAATGTGTGTTTAATCCTGATAGCTGTTGACAAAAAGGGGCACTCGATATGTTATTTTTATTTTTTAATTTTTATTTATTTATTTATTTTTGGCTACGTTGGGTCTTCATTGCTGCACGTGGGCTCTCTAGTTGCAGCGCTTGGGGGCTACTCTTCTTGCAGTGCGTGGGCTTCCCATTGCGGTGGCTTCTCTTGTTTCAGAGCCCAGGCTCTAAGCGCGTGGGCTTCAGTAGTGTGGCACGTGGGCTCAGTAGTTGTGGCTCGCGGGCTCTAGAGCACAGGCTCGGTAGTTGTGGCACACGGGCTTAGTTGCTCCGCGGCATGTAGGATCTTCCCAGACCAGCGTTCGAACCCGTGTCCCCTGCATTGGCAGGCAGAGTCTTAACCACTGCGCCATCAGGGAAGCCCAATATGTTATTTTAAAATACCTCATCCTATGTTTCATGCTTCATTCTAAAATCATAAGTATGAGAACTTCACATTAGATTTCTTAGAAAGGAATTTAAGACAGATTCACATTCTCTGCTAAATGGGTCCATTAATATTATGGGCGCTAGGATAAGATCCATGGATGATCCATTGGATATCTGCAGTGAGTCCCTCTCTTGACAAAATATATTGAGCTCTGTCATTGCTATATCCGTGCCTTGATATATGGCTGGGCTGGATATCTGTGCACATCTTTAATGATTCTCTGAATAGTAGGCAATTTCCCATTTGTCTAAAGAGAAAACCGAGAAAAGTTTTCAGCTAAATTGACTATGTAAACTTTGAGGGGCATGGATGAACTGGCCAAGTGTCTACTTATAATATGTAATCTACTAATTTAGACATAGATAATACTTTAAAGCATATATCACGTAGAATATTTTTAGAGGTATTGCTCTTTTCTCAACCTTATAGTTTATGATGTAGTTTTAGTCTAACTCCCCCTCCCATGCATTCTTGACACCAGAATGGTACCACCTTTTCAGGCAGCTGGCATGTTTCTGCCACCTGTCATCTGGAATTCAGTCTAAGCGGTTTGGGGTTCAAGATTGTGAAACCGTATGATGCCATCACTGAAAATCTTTTCTCTGGCTATAAAAACCCACTTACTACTCATAGTCTTCAGTAACCACTTACTCTATTACTTTTTTTAGTAATCTTTAAAATACTTGTTTTCAAAAACACTTTGAATTTTTAGGTCACGTCTCCCAAAATAATTACTAACTCAGTATTAAATCCCTTGGCTTCTGTTTTTACCGGTCCCATCAAGCGAATGACTGCTAAAACTACCCAAAATTCTCATCAGTTGGCGTCTCAAGTTAATGCTATTTCCCTAAACTGTACTTTGTTCAAAATAAAGTAATTGAGAGAGTGCCTGGTATTATGAGAGACTTTATAAGGACTTTAGATAAGATGCCTCTTTTTCTGAGGGATAATTATATGGAAGAAGAATCTCACCTTACATTCATCCATATATTATAGTTTAAACAAAAAGAGAGGGGATTCATGCAAATCTCTTTTGTGTTCTTATGCAAAGTGACTATTGAATATGAGAGCTTTTGTCCACCTATAAAAAATATCTTAAGACTATAGTAGGATTGTCATGCATTTATCTTGTATAGAAACACTGAAAATATAGGTTCATGAAGCCTGCTGCTTTGAAAATATTCACATTGGAATCTTTTAAGAACTACAGCTTCTACCCAATTAAACCTCCTTCCAAGCCCAAACCACATCTACTTTTACTTTAATACAAAACAAACCAACCAACCAACAAACAAGCAGCAGGAAATATTTAGAATAGATATTCTCTCAGGGGCCCATAGCCAAAATTTTTGGAACTCAAAATGAAAAATTTAGAGAATTGAGTGGCTAGATTTCCCTGTAGTGTTACTCCCTCCTTAAAGTATATTATGTTATATTGTTTCCATTCTTTTCATCTACGTATTTCCAAGAGATTCAGAGTAAAATAACATATATTACAGGTCAGGTGGCAGCTGTTTGATTGATATGGTTGAAGATAACATATGGTGTATTCTTTACTTTAAACTGTTTTGAGTCTTTTTTCTTGCCCACAGCAGTAGTATATGTGAGAATTACCCCAGAACTTCCCAATGGTACATGTGTGTAATACCCATCATCTTAAAAAGCAATGAACATTTTGCCACTGCATTCTTTATTATTTGAAGCAAATCAAACTGAGAGCTTAAAATAAATTGTTACAGAACTCTAATTCTATAAGATCTTACAATTCCAGGAGATTATACATGCCGTTTTAAAATGTTAATCAGAAGATGCATTTGTTTTAATTCTTGATACTGAAAATATTGACTGAATTGTGAATTAACACATTTAGGGTTGCAGATGTCATTTTTCATGAGATTTCCTGAATGATATAATTTTCATATTTCATATAGCAGTTTGATCAATTTACAGATTTATTTTACATAATTAGTTGGTAAATGAGAAATTCAATTGCTGATATATAACTATTTCTCTGAAATATAGAAAATAAGCTTAAATTCTGAATTATAAATGAAAAAACAAATATTTTGAAGACATCTGGTCCACATCTGTCTGAAATAAGATAATTTAAAACGGTGTAATTAAATGCAAGAAATACTGAAATATTCACACCTTAGAATGTAAAAAATAAGTCATTCCATTTTAGTGTGATTTCTTGAATTGGTGATTTTTTTAAATTTTAGTGTCCTTTAACCTCTTATTCTGTCATTACAAAGAAGACTGACAAGCTAAACAAACAAAAATAATCCATGTTTTTCAAAGCTTCTACTAAATGAAAGAATTATCTTTATTACTATTCTTTTATGCGTTGACTAACCTCCACTCCTAAGTTAATACTCAGCGGACTTAGACTCAGGCCTACCCCCTTTTGATGTATTTATAATTCTCCATTCAATTATTAAAAATAAGAGATTAGTGAGAAAGTCTGTAATCTCACTCCCTAAACTGTGTGTTCCTTGTGGACACAAAGAGGCTCAGTAAATGTGAGAGAGAGGTACTCAGACTCATGGAAATGAAAAGCATCTTTGGTACATTCTCATGATCAGTAGAGAATCGTCCTTTGAAGACTGGTCTTTTCTTTTGTTAAAAACCTGTGTTAAGTGGAAAATTAACCATTTTAGGAGAAAGGAAAATAAGGTAGACTTTCTATAGTCTAACCAAAAAATGTGAAAAAAACAGATTCTCCTTTAATAAAAGGCTGCAGAGCCTTGAGACTTCAATAGGACTGGGTTTTGATCCATGATAGAGAAATTAGATTCATGAAAACACTCAATACTAATGCTACAGTATAAGGGTGAGGGAAGATCTCAGCTTGGATGCCAGAGGCTCTCCTAACTAACAGTAGACCATGAGAGGAATTGATACTATGAGAAGTGAAAATACTTTTCCTAACACATACCCTAAGATATCACAAGTTTTGTCTCTTGTTTTTATTTCCAGGGAGCATGATAAAGATCCAGAGAGTTTTTTTAAGGTATTGATGCATCTTAAGGACTTAGGACTCAATTTCCACGTATCTGTCCTTGGAGAAACCTTCACAGATGTCCCAGGTATTTCTTTTGAATTTTCTTGTGTGTATTTTTATAGATGACATAAGCTGTACAACTTAAGTATTAATTTCCGTGTTTCCCTTTGTTAGAATAATCAAGATGAGCACCGTTAACCAAAAGGTTATACGATGGCATTAAAGTGTGATTCAATTAAAAAAATACTTAAGTAAGCATTCTTTGATTTAAGTTGAGAACGTGAAGTCATCTCTTTTATCAAATATAGTTTATACAATGCATCCTGATGTAAATAACATATATTGCCTTAGGCATCTTAACACTTAAGGAAAGTGGGAATTTGTAATTGGATATACACCCTCTCACCTCTGGTGCACTGGTTTGATTCCTACTCACGTTGGTAATGGCTGAAATATATTACCATCTGTTAGGTGGCCTGTGTAAAGCATTTTGGCATCAAACTTGTAATGTGGAGTAGACACATATCATAGTTGTCATTGGTCCATGCCTTTTTTATTGAACTTGAGAAAACAAACAAAAATCCAAAGCTGATAGCAGCAGGTCTTCTCATCCTTAATGCCATATGGAGCCTGTTTCAAGCCATTTCCTTCACCCTGCATCCTCACTGGGCATGTTTGGGTCAGTAAGATGAGCACCACCGTCCTAAGCACTTAGGTGTTCATATTTTTTAAGCTTTGGGTATTCAGCTTTTTTTGTAAACTCCAAGTATACAGACAAGAAAAGTTCAGAAATGGCCTCTGTCATCATGCTTTATGACTCTTAAGGACCACTTAAAGTTTACCCTCACTTAGCAAGTACTTTTTGATTCTGGTACAACACAAGGAAGTACACCCAGCTTGTACCTCAGTAGCTTCATCTGATATGGCTCATCCTCTGCCCCCTGCACTTACAGACACCAAACTTTTCTCAGTTCCTCTAAGATTCCAGCCTTCTTTAAACCTTTGCACATTTGCCTATTTGTATTTTATTCATTCGCTCTCAGCTCAAGGGCATTTTCTTTCAATGTGAAGCTTTGCAGTGGTCTCATGGCACCCTATACTTTTATCTCATGGTGCCTCCCTCAGTTTCTAATCATATAATTTTGTGTAATTTGTTATCTCACTCCTCCCCCCCACACACACACATACACATAAACATTAGAATGTGGGTGCTGGGAGGACAAAGATTATGACTATCTTGTTCATCACAGTACCTCAGAGCCTAGTGCAGTGCCTGGTACAAGGCTGGAACTCAATAAATATTTGTTCAATAAACAGATAAAAATGTAAACTCCCTGCCCTCAAGCAGTTTATAGTTTTCTTGAAGAGGGAACACTTTTGCATAAGGACGGGAAACAGAGGGAAACACAGGATAATGTAATTATATATTAGTACTGACACATGTGACTTAGAGTAGAATGTTAATTTAAGAGCTAGAACTTGAATAGCCAAAGGATTAGGATATTCCAAAAGGGGAAACAACATGGCCAAAGCATAGAGAAGCAAGTATTTTAGATATTGTACTTAGAGAACAATTTCAGTGATTAGTGCTATGAGGTCACTAAGTAGAATAGAAGATTCTGCATGCAAAACTTAATAAGCAAGTAATACATGGGCAGGGTAGGGCCAAAGTACGGAGGATGAGCAAAGTAGATTAGGTAAAGGTAAAAAATAGGGAGCCTCGATCTTGAACTGGAAAGAAATATGATAAAGCATGTATTTTAGGAAGATTTATCTTGCAGTGATATGTAGGCAGAACTGCAGTGAGACTCTGCAGCGGTCATCCAAGTGTGATTCTGTGAGGTGGTGGAAGAGAGATTAGTGAGAGGGCTGTAGGAGAGAGACATTCCCAAGGAAAACACAGAAAAGAATTTGATAGATGGATGGCTGTCAAGAAAGAAGGAAGAAAAAATCAGCTCATTTACAAAGCTAGTGAGTTCAATTTTGTTTGTGCCAGTTTTGAGGTGTTTGTGGATGAACTGAGGAAAGAGGCTGGAGGATATCCCTAAGCAGAAGGCTTTGTAGCCAGCTTTACTGTTGGATAATTTTAAGCCACCACTACAAAGAAGACTAGGTTCTTACTCAAAGGGCCATGTCCTTGGGATCACAGCTCTCCCTTCCCACACGTTAACACTGAGCTATTTAGATCAGCACTGGGGATTGAAAGTGGATTGGGGAGCAATTAGGGGCCCAAGAACTGAGTGCTCAGTAATTACAGGCTCAATCTTTTACTCACTTTGGTTCGACCTCAACACATACTTACTGAGCACTGTGGAAGGGGGATTTCACAGTGTACAGGACTCAGTCTGCACCTCAGAGAGCCCTGCGTTGGGGAGACACTTACATATAATTAACAGGTACCTAGGATGCTGTGGGATCATTAGGGAATGCTGTGGAAGACCATAGGAAGGGTCATATTACCTACGTACACACTTCTGTTACTCCCAGTCCCAACTGGAGCTCCTTTCTGCCCTTGCCTCTGGCCCATCTCTGTCACGTCAAATGTGAATCAATTCTCTTTAAGGCTACAGAACTTCGCCTTGCACATAGGAGGAGCCCAAGTTGTTGGCTGGATGACTGAGCCTGGGAGATTTCCAGGTTGTGCTCCTAGAAGGCCACCTTGCTAGTCTTTACTCCAAAGGTTTCTTCACAGGCAGTTTTGTGTAACTTCTGCCATTTGTATCACTGTCCTAGTTTGACAAACACTAATATAGCACTTGCTGTATTTCAGGCATTGTTCTAAGCCATTTATAAATGTTAACTCTTCTTAACAGTCTCATTCAGTATTATTGTCTCCATTTTTCTTAGGTGGGGAAACTGAGGCACAGAGAAATTAAGTGAGGTCACATAACTATCAATACATAATACTTTTAACCACTATGCTGTGCTACCTTTCCATTTTCTTGTTTTCTGACCCAACTGCTTCTCTGAGTTTAAACATTAATTTTTTTTCCCCACCTCACCATCCAGCACTTCATGCAAAGGGTTACCTAGCAGGGATACATTTCTTTGCCTGTTGTCTCTTCTAGGTGCTCCACTAGCATATCTAAAACCCATACCCTAAAACCAACTTATACACTGTGCAGTATCAGCCAGAAGGATAACTCGGAACACTGTTAACATTTGTGAGGAAGTGGTTTTCTTTTAAATAATTGTAATAATAATCATTATTATCCTGTTAATTGCTATTATTTATTGAAAGTTTGCTTCTTGCTTGGTCCTTTGCCAGGTTATTTCATATACTGCTCATGATAATCCCAAAGGCATAGGTGTTATTATCCCATTTGATAGATGGAAAAACTGAGACTTTGAAGTCTTGAGTCACTTTGATTACACTCCTTATGAGTCAAGTTTTGCTCTTTCACATACAAGCCTAGATGTATTGGAAAACCAAGAAAGGTTTAATACATGACGGCAGGACCATTAAAATACTCTTATTTTTTTCCCTTGAGGTAAGATTTATACATATAACATTGTATAAATTTAAGGTGTACAATGTGATAACTTGATACATTTACATATTGCAATATGATTACCAGTGTAGCTCTAGCTAAGGTCTCTCTCACATCACATAATTATTTCTTTTTCACAGTGAGAACATGTAAGATCTAGTCTCTTAGCAATTTTAAAGTATATAATACAGTACTGTTGACTGTAATCACTATGCTGTATTTTTGATCTCCAGGACTTATTCTTACTCTAGTTGCAAGTTTGTACATTAATTACTCTATAACCAACTTCTTTCTCCTTCCCTCTACACAGAACTGGTAGGGAAAGGTAGCATATCTGAGTGATGGCATTAGTGCTAGTGAGTTTTACTGCCCTTTTTTTTTTTTTTTTTTTTGCGGTACGCGGGCCTCTCACTGCTGTGGCCTCTCCCGTTGCGGAGCACAGGCTCCGGACGCACAGGCTCAGCGGCCATGGCTCACAGGCTCAGCCGCTCCGCGGCATGTGGGATCCTCCCAGACTGGGGCACGAACCCGTGTCCCCTGCATCAGCAGGCGGACTCTCAACCACTGCGCCACCAGGGAAGCCCATTACTGCCCTTTTTGATGAAGCAGACAATCTCCATTAAATTTCTTTTGAAAATGTTAAAACCACAGTAGAGCAACTTTGTAGAGTCTTCATACTGTTGATTATTTTCAAATTATGTTGCGGTAAGGTTATTATCATCCTTTTTCTGAAAAGTGTAGTAGTTGATTATCGATTCTAGTTTATAGCTACATAGTTTATCATTCTTTTGCATGATCCTTCCATTTTACAAAAGAGATGCTAGATCTAGGATGGTGACTATTCCAAGGGCTCACAGCTGGGCACAGTGGGCGAGACGGGCAGTAGATAGTGGCAAGGTTAGGAGAAGAACCTGGGAGTTAGTCTCCTCATCCCTACTCACTTCTGTATGTGTTCAACACATGTTTTTTAAATATCTACTTTATGCCAAGCACTAAACTAGATGTTTAAGATGAAGTGGTGAATAAAACAAACATCTTCTGTGATGTTTGCATCACGGAAGTAGTCTAACTCCAGTGCGTTATCCATCAGTTCCTAGAGCGCTTAGCATGTGCCAGGTACTATTAGAAGCCCTTTGTGCCTTGCCTTGTTTATTCGTCACAACAGCCCTGTGAATTAGGCACTTTTGTGATTATCATACTGCAGCTGCGAAAAGTCAGAAACAGGGAGGTTAAAGCACTTGCCTGAAATCACGCATCCATCCAACTACCAATCCACAATTCAAACCTTGCCAGCCCACCTCTCTGCTATTCTCCTCTATGTGGAAATCCACAAAATCATCCCTCTTTTACGGGTAAGACAGCAGGAGGTGATAATGGTGGAAAATTCCTGGCTACTCATATGAAATCATTTCCATTTTCTCTAATAAGCTCTTTGCAAATGGAAAGTTTAAAAACAAATAAACAGAGAACCCCCGCAAAACCTCAAATTCATTTCCTAAATATATCACTCCTTAGATATTAAAGTGAACTCCCTCTTCTTTCTGCCATCTGTCTTCATCACAAGAAAGGTGTCGAAAACAATATGAAGTGGGAA